GCAAACGGTGAATGTCCTGCTGATGATTTTCTCTTTGATAGTGGCAGTCGTCTTGTCCTATTCTGCCTTCAGCTGTACACAATACTGTTTCCTCTTCCTGTCTCAGGTCATTGCTAGTTTTCAACCCATCTTAAGTTCATGTTCTCTTGAGCTTCTGGACAGCAAGTTTGTGTTTTCTTTTGGAAGTTGAAGGAGGGAGGAAAGGAGTAGGTGCTTCTTGTTACTGCTATCCAATATTTGGCAGTGTCAGTTCTTAGCTTTCCTATCTTCAGATTGGTTCCTTTTCTTGAATGCCTTTTTACTTCATTCTGGAAAAAAATCCATGGCATATCTGATACATGATGTCATGCACTGCTAATTATTTGGAGAATAAACATGGAACATAGAAATGATTCCTTTCCCTGCAGTTGTTCTTTTTTGTAGCTTCTATATTCCTGCTTAATATTGGTAATATGGTCTGTGTGCATTAATACATTTTTGGAGTTTTTTCTTTTCTATTTTTTGCCTCATATATACAATTATGATTTTTTAAAAAACTTTATTCCAAACATGTGCCTTACATTTTGGTCTCCTCTGAAATAGTGTTTGCAGATTAGAGTTTCTTCAGGTAATATTTTATTCAGCTAGAATTTAATTATTTCCTTCATCACAGGAGAATATTGCTCTTTGAGAGGTGACCTGAGAAAGTATAGCACTTCATACAATTGAAGATGTTAATAGCTTTGAAGACCAGGACAATGGCATTCAGATTGCAGCAGAAAAAAAGTGGAAAATGGGATAATGTTTTCTGACTCATGGTGTTTTCAGATTTTTTGCTATCTCATGTCTTTTCTTCATTAACTGACTTTTGTATCTCATCTGATTGTTCCTGTGTTCCAGTGGTCTTCCTTATATTATTCTATTCTTGAATAAAAATCCTTTCTTCCTAAATGATGCAGTGTCACTTTCATCTACAGTTAGGCACTTACTAGGCTCTCAACATTCCTATTCTGCTTATACAGAAGGAAGGTTCAAACAGCTTCCTGCTTTTCTTAAAGTTTGATCTATGGAAAAAATTACTCATAGACCAATGTTGAAGTATTCAAATGTCTTTTTGAAGGAAGATATCCTTGAAGTTGTTGAGGTATGGCAGCCTAATCTAGTCTGATTGCTGGTTACTTATCTCTCCATTTTATCTTTGTACATGTGCTGACTGGATTTTGTATTTGCCAAGTTCCTGATCTTTACTGCTAATGACCCACCTGGCAATGCATTCCATGGAGAACCAGTATTTTGTGATTCACATACCAGTGTCCCATTATGCTTTTCCAAATGTTTCCTAACAACCATGAAGAAAACTGTTGTGCGTGACAACTTAACTGGAAAAGTTTGCAATTATTTCTGTTCATTTGCAGCCGATATTGCTAAGAGCCATTAGCTTAATGGGCTGTTGTACGCCTTTTTTTTTTTCTCCTACGTCTCTAAAGAGTCCCTAGGACATTCTCCCATGAAACAAAGGGGAAGAAAAGGAAGAACCAGAAAGCGGATGATTGCTTTGGGAGTTCAGACCCAGAAGCTTTTAGACAAAACACAATACATTATCTTACAGAAAAGTAGATCTCAGATTGGAGGAGTATTTCAATAATGTGACCCCTCTGTGTGCTGCAGAATCTCAGTTTCATTTAAAAAAGAATCTCGTTACCTTTTCTGGTTGCCAGTACGATGTGGGTCAAGCACCCCCAATGCAAAGAGGGCTGCCTGAATGCTTTCTGACAGGTTAGAATAGCCTACAGTGACCTCCATGCTGCCATAATCTGGCTGCAGCAGTGCCTGAACAAGCTAGTTTAAAATTAGTATGGATATATCCTCACTATATGTCTGTCTTTAATATAGTTGCAGTATGTCTTTCATGTTCTTCCAAACAGTCTTGGATGACAAGCTCAGTAGTTTTACCTTAAAGGAAACCTTGGAAAAGCAGATTTTCCACAAGGCAGGAGGAGCCTGAAGAAAGGCAGCTGTCAAATCATGGAAGATGTTTGATAGCAATGGATACTGATAACTGAAAATATTCGAGAAGACAGCTTGTCTGATGAGAAGAGGAAATGCTTGGGATGCAGCAACTAATTGTTCATAGGAATAATTAAAAAAGCATAGCTAAGAGTTGCAAAATGCTTATTTAAAACCTTATGCTTCCCTTTTTTTGGGCGAATTACAGATTGAAAATGCCAAATACAGAATTTGGCAGCTCATGGCTTGGGCAGGAATACCCTTCGCTGGGTGAAAAACTGTCTGGCCAGCTGTGCCCAGAGTGGTGGTGAATGGAGCTAAATCCAGTTGGCGGCCAGTCACAAGTGGTGTTCCTCAGGGTTCAGTGTTGGGGCCAGTTCTGTTTAACATCTTCATTGATGATTTGGACGAGGGAATTGAGTGTGCCCTCAGGAAGTCTGCAGATGACACCAAGCTGGGTGGGAGTGCTGATCTGCTTGAGGGTAGGAAGGCTGTACAGAGGGATCTGGACAGGCTGGATCGATGGGCCGAGACCAACCATTTGAGATTCAACAAGACCAAGTGCTGGGTCCTGCACTTCGGTCACAACAACCCCATGAACCCTACAGGCTTGGGGACGAGCGGCTGGAAA